CAATAAAATCATTTGGTCTTCTGCTAGCACTGCTTACACTTTTCGTATTTTCGAATATTTTGACTGAAGGACGGAAGAATGAAAGAATGGCTATTCAAGAGGAGGCTAGAGGGGTTACTTCTTCAGTGCTAAGACCTTCCGTTATAGCTGCAAGGGATTATCGCTGTTTCCAGGGTCATGAACAAACAGTTGCATCGTGGCTGAGATACAGAGTGTGATCTGTTTTCTATGTGTTCATAGTGAAATCGAATACTGTAGTTTCATTTCAACCTATATATACATCAGGCAGATAACAACAAAAAAGGTATATACATAGAATTGTACTATATATTTTTAACACATTAATCTGCAGAATCTGCAATAAAAGTACTGGTTCATGGATGAGTTTGGGCATAACTCATACATATATACTTTTTTGCTGTTGTTCACTTAGGTATCATTTTAATTCCACTATTAGGGTTTTACTCAAGTCTGTATGGTAATTACTGCATTTAAAAATAAATATTTAGGACTGTGAATGCGCTTCTACTAGCGGCGTGTGTACGCGCTTCCACTAGCAGAGTTTAAATGCCCGACTGGCCAAAACGGGGTACGTTGGCCACGACGACCATGCTCATCACTGGCCTGAACAGAGCACTTCGGACATTAAAGTTTAATTATTGTTACTTCTAACTTGAATTTGCAAGTGCCCAGTTTGAATCTCAGCTGAGTTATTGATTATCTTAGCTAAAATCTTGTGTTTCCCCATCATTCATTTTGGCAAATTCTGGAATATTACTTCAAAATGGGTTGCAACTGCTTCTGCCACTGTTATTTTCAAGCTCTCACATGTAATCATTCTGTCTCTAATTTTGCAGTAAATAACCTCTACAACTGGCACAGCATATCTGAAAAATTTTCATACTAAAGATCTCCATGATGAGCAGACATCTGAATATTCAGTAAGTCAGACCTTGTATGAAATTTGAGATTGCCATGACAATGAGAAATTTGTCTGAATAATATTTCACATTCAGTTCCTACATCACAGACAGCAAACACACCATGTCTCCATTATAAAGACCAGCTGATTATGTTAAGAGTTTTGTGTCTTCCCTCCATCTCTTTGTCAAATGCCCTGTTGATCTTTTCCCCTTGGTTTGATATCTTAAAATTGCTTTCAGGAATCTTCAAGCATTCGTTCTATTCACATGGCTCCTCCAGTTTTCTTGGTAATTAAGATACAGGAGTTTGTGATGATGGTATATTAAAACATTTATTGAGTTTTTGGACATTGTCCCCTGTCCTGTATTCTATTCAAAACACAGCATCTATGAGACTGGATTCTGTCTCCATCTTCAGGTCCCTATTTCTGAAGATAGGGATTAGCTCTATCAATTCGACCCAAATGAATAGGCTTTTACCTGAAGATGGAGACAAAATCCAGTCTCCCAAACATTGTGTTTTAAATGAAAAAGGGATGATGGATAATGTGTTCGTATAACATACCAGTCTCCTCATAACCTTCATTTCAAAGGCCATAAGTCACTTATTTTTGCCCTTTCTTGTTCTGCACTGACATTTTCCCCCACACTTGAAGTTAGTATGAAAGGTTATGGTTATACTACTTTTCTGCATAGTCATCCTGCTTCTCTTATTTTTGCCCCTTCTTGTTCTGCACTGACATTTTGCTCCACATTTGAAGTTAGTATGAAAGGTTATGGTTATACTACTTTTCTGCATAGTCTTCCTGCTTCTCACTTCACTTGATAGTGGTCCACAGGCTTTATGATGCCATCACAGAAAAACTTTGTGCTGAGTGCAAAAGCAGTCATGCACCGCTTCATGTCATCATCTGCAAATTGATGACTTCGAGAGTCTCGTTTAGAGGTCCGAACAGATGGAAATCCAAAGGTGCAAGGTCTGGACTGTACACTAAATCAAAAACTTCAAATTTCACCTCCTGAAGGGGTTCCCTAATATGGACAACAGTATGAGATTGGTCATTATTGTGCAAGATGGGAACACCTTCCAGTAAATTTTCTCATTGTTTTAAGCAAATGGCTGGCCTCAGTTCATTTATTAACATGTGGGAATACCCAGTGCTTGAGGTGGAATGAAAATAGAACCGGGATGGTTTTCCCCTTTTAATTCATAGACATAAATTATGAAAATATACCGAGTGATGTATATAGTCTGTGTTCCATCTAAGACCTACAAACATATTACAGTAGTTTAAATGGCATGCGTTAAAATAAAGTCACACATGCATTACAAGTACTTATCTTTAGAATATTTTCCAAAAAAGGTATTGTACATTGCATTTACTGCCAAAGAAGTAACGGGATGCTTTTAAGCCATTTAGAAAAGAACCGGGATGCCATCCTGCCGCATCCCGCCCCACCTCAAGCCCTGGGAATACCTTACAATTGTTACTGTGGTTCAGTTTCCCTGGTAGTGTTGGAGGATAGGACCTTCAGAGTCCTAGAACACTGTCAGCATTAATCTCACAGCTGAGGAGATGATGGGTGCTTCCACTGCAAACTCTTACATTTTAGTTTATCCAAGTCCCATTGACAGTGGTCATGTGATTAATAAAACCGCCTCCTTCATCGCTGTAGTGTTCCAATAGATGATAGCTGTTGCCCACACAGTTGTGCTTGTGCACTTCCATTTGTTCTTCAGATCCAGATGCAGACTTACTGGAATTCAAGAATGTTGTGTACTATTGAATGAGCTGAACACTCACTAATATCTGGTGTTGATACAGTGTCTTCTGTTGTTCTTCCTCTGTTCGTGGGAGTTGTGGCTCTGGCTTGTACCTGTTTCTCATCACTTGTTGCTGTAGACAGGTGTCCCAAGCATTCTGAAACAGTTACAGTTGTCCTGGCTTTCTTAAACATGTCTGTCAACCCAGACACACTGGTCATGGTAGCACATTTTCCCCATACTCTGTACATTAGTGTATGCGAATTTCAACCCCTTCAGTATCTTCTGCCAACAGAAATGAGCCACAACCCACTTTGGCGCAAATTTAAAGGGGTGTAGCTATGTTCCTCTGCTTCACCATAGCTTACTCACTGCATCTAAGGTCATCTCACAGGATTCAGTGATGCCAGCTGTCATTGGGCTGTCTTGTACCTTCTGCTGATAGGACAGAAAGTGCAGATAATTTTTAATTATTCATGTATCAATAGGGATATAACCATGGGTTTTGTCTCCATTCTAGTTAATATTATAGGGAAGTAATCTCTCTCTCTCTCTCTTTTTTTTTTTTGTGAGGTTCCTCTGAAACGCTTAAATGCATCTTTTGGAAAAAGTGCAGTGTTATGGCAGGTAGTACAGTGTATATTATCCATTACGCTTTGATGACTGTCTCAGGTCCTGTGAGTATGCAGCTCCATGCTATCCTATTCAGGTTCCACCAAATGATCCACGAATTACAAACCGTCGCTGTATTGACTTCTTTAGAAGCAGTGCCATCTGTGGATCAGGCCAGACATCAGTTTTCTTTGATACTTTGATGCCAAGGGAACAAATCAACCAGCTGACATCCTACATTGATGCATCACAGGTATGGGTCTCTTCAGTCAGATAATCTGACTGTGATCATTCTGTTCACTACCACTTTTCATTCATCAGATTCTTTGAGATATCAGTGCAGTATTCCCAACACAGTTTATCCAAATTATAATCCTTCTGAGAAGAATATTTGGACAGAGAGAGAGAGAGCAAGTAACAGGAGAAAACTGCGTAATGAGGACATTCATAATTTGGAGTCATCACTGAATGCTACTAAGGCAATCAATTGCAGAACTGTGAGGTGGGTGCGACATGTAGCATACATTGGGGAGAAGAGAAGTGTATGCAGTTTTACCTGTTGTTTTGTGTGAGAGTGAAATTCAATTTCTTGTCCTTGTGGAAGAGCATAGATTGAGGTTTTGGAAACAGAATGCTGAGGAGAACATTTGGACCTGAAATGGAAGAAGTGTCAAATTTACCAAAAATTGTTGATAGGTTCAAGAATGGTGACAGGACTGCACTGTGCATGATAAAGTGAAATGTGTCTCTATTTATTATAGCATTTCTAGATGACAGAACTTTGACTTCAACAATCTGATGATGTTGGACCTACTGACAGGTATATGGATATTCAAAAGAAGTAACACAGGACCTGCGAGAGTTCCGCAACAATCACGGATTGCTACGTGAAGGAATCAAACTACCCAAACACAAGCCATTGTTGCCACTTGCCGATAATCAGCCAAATGATTGCCGGCGAGACCCATTGGAGAGTGACATTGGCTGCTTCTTGGCAGGAGACATCCGATCAAATGAGCAGCTTGGGTTACTGGCCATGCATACCATCTGGTTTAGGGAGCACAATCGCGTGGCCACAGAGCTGCGGTACATTAACCCACACTGGGATGGGGATATGTTGTACCACGAAGCCCGAAAAATTGTGGGAGCTGAGGTAAGACTTGGGTTATACTGTGAGAATTTGGGAAAATGTAAGTTAAAACAATAAGAAAAGCAGATTCGGAGTAAGAGAAGCAGAGTAAGGTCCACTGAGTAGTGACCTTTTTAGGGTTTGCTTATATCTTTCTCTTCATTCCTCTTTGCCCCATCTTTCCTTCCCTTCCTCCACTCTTTTATCCTTACTTCATTCATCTCACACCTTATTTGATTCCCACTTGACAAGAGAGCCCACACAATCCTAGTCCTGCTTGTCACTTCCACGTATTATTTCTCTGTGCTGAGTTCACACTTTTGGTGTAATGATCTGATATGTGTTCAGATGTTCAGTTCGAGTATCAACTGGGATGCTGGCTATCCTGACATTTTTTAATTCTTTTGCAGTCACTCTGGGCAAAATGTCAGAATTGTACCTTGTTTATGATGTAATTGCTTCCTTCCAAATCCTTTCCAATTCCTCATTCATCAATCATCCTATCCACACTGTGTAGTCTAGATAGTGACAGTATCATAAAATAAACCACAAAAAAAAAAAAACAGATGGAATCATGCCCAAAAGAATTACAGTCATAATGTTATAAAAATCACGTCTTTCCCACACATGTCTTATTTTTTTCTGATCTCTTCACATAAAGGAAAGGAAAATATAATGCTGTGCATGTGTGTGTGTGTGTGTGGGGGGGGGCATATGCGTGGTTTTCAACATATAACTTTCTGTTAGAGTTTGGAGAAGTTTGTGGATGAGATCCTTTCTGATACATTACAGCACTTTTCTATAACACTTCATGAATATTGAAGAATACTATTTTCTGGAATGTGATGCCATGTAGTTTACCAGTGTTTTGGATGAATTGACTGCCTCCATCTTCAGAGTAAAAAAAGTAAGCCAAGCAAGCAACAAACAGAGTCACATGTTCTTCTAAGACATCAGGAATCTTCTTCCAGACTATATGGCATCACATCCCAGAAGACAGTAGTCCTCACAGTCATCACTGTGAGAACCTCAAATGTCACATTCGTGAAAACTGCTTGTTTGTATCAGAAGACAGATTGAAGTGAGAATACATCAGTAAGCAGTATTCTAAGCGGCCTCCGTAGTCTAGAGGTAACGTTCCCACCTCATGACTCATAGTACACGTGTTCAAACCCAGCGGAGGTTGTGGAATAATTCAGGGAACAAGTCCTCCGGGAGGGACTTTAAGCTGTGGGTCCCGTGTCGTAGCTTTACGGCACGTAAAAGAACTCATATCTCCTAAGGAGGTCACTGAGCAAAATTCAAGGACATTTCCCGCCCAACAGTAGTCTCTAACGCCTCTGATAGATGGGGGAAGCATTATAGATACCGCTAAGCCAGTAGAGGCCGAACTCGCTGGCTTGGTCGGGACTGATGGTAAGCACCAGTATCAGTAGGGTATAGAGACTGGTAAAATATCATAGAGGGAAGCACAATGGACCAATACTGGTCTAAGTGCATGGGGAAACCCACCCTCTCCAATAACTAACTAAAGCAGTATTCTACTATGTTCCAGGTGCAGCATATCACATATAAACATTGGCTGCCTCTGATTCTTGGAGGTGAGGGTATGCAGATGTTGGGAGAATATAAAGGCTATGACCCTACTGTGAACCCTGGCATCTCCAATGTCTTTGCAACTGCAGCACTTCGGTTTGGCCACTCCCTCATTAACCCTGTTCTGCATCGTCTGAACAAGACATTTGGAACTATCACAGAGGGTGATGTCCCCCTTCAGAAGGCATTCTTTTCACCATGGCGTATTGTAGAGGAGGGGGGTGTGGATCCACTGCTCCGAGGGCTGTTTGCAGTGCCTGCAAAATTGAAGAAGCCCCACCAGATGCTCAACACTGAGCTGACAGAACACCTCTTTGAAGTAGCACATGCTGTTGCACTGGATCTAGCAGCTATCAACATCCAGAGGGGACGAGACCATGGCATACCAGGATACAATGAGTGGAGACAGTTCTGTAATCTCAGTGAGGCACACACGTTTGATGACCTGCATAATGAAATACGCAGCCAGTCATTGCGAGACAGCCTGAAGGAGTTGTATGGACACCCAGGTAAGAGTCACCATTAGACATAGCCTGATGTAATAAGAATTAGTTTACATTTATTTTAAACATAATTGTAATGACTTGGTTCATCCTTGTCTGTTACACTAGTAATAGTATAAAAGGTTGATTGATTGATTGAATGTGATTGATAAATGTTGTATTTTATAAGATTAAAAAACACAATATTTATCAATCACACTGGATGGTGTTAATAATCTTTTATAATAATTGTAATGGCCTGTGCATTATTTAAGTTAATTATTTTCAAATGAAAGAATGTTTTGTTCAAAATCTCTATTCTCCAAACACACAATATTTGATGAACCAAAATATTTATACTATCATTCTCTCCCTCCAAAAGAACATGTAACTTTATTGTTTCCTACTTCGTAGCATGGATGAAATAGAGAAGACACAAAGCTATTTTGAAATTTACTGCTTACCCTTGTCATTGCATATGGTAGCTATGGGTGTGGAAGTACTGATGTAGATTTTTTTTTTTATGATTTGAATCCTTGTTTCCTGTCTTTCCTTAATTACATGAATAAACTTAATTTCCTTACTTGAGTGTTATTCCTTGTTCAAGTTTTACCTACTACAGGATTTCCCATAAGTCTAGAACCATAGACACAACTAGAGTTTTTGTACAGCTGTTACAAAATCTGCTGTGAGTCAACTCTTTATGCTGACACACATGCCAAGATGTTTTTGTTGATCCAAAAGAATTACATGAATTGTGTGTGGTGTGATCTCACTGCATGCAGTTGCAGTTCACTCTTGATGATGATTAATATTAATTTCACAGCATAAACATTGACTTTCAATTGTGCTCAGAGTTGAAGGACTTTGTTGCTGACTGATGCTTGCCTTCCAATCCACTGTAGAGGGGCTGTTCATTAAGCCATTCTCTGACTGCATGGCTGTAATGAGCAGGCTTGTCACTGTAATGTCACTGTAATTCCAAAAGTAAGGTCTCCTATGTTTGAAAATATAAAATAAACATTTATTTTCAATTTTGGATACATCAGTTGAATCTTGAACATGTACTCATTTCTCTACATAATCGCCATTTCGGTCGATGCATTTTTGTAGGCGCAGTGGCAGTTTTTGTA